TTCAAGACTAAGGCAAGCGCTTCAGGGGGACAGAGGAAAAAAAAAATTAACTAAAGCTGTTTCTACAGTAAATTGTCAAGTGATGTGTTGCTTCAGGATGGGTCAAATCAGCTGAAAGTCAGATCCTGGCTTTGCCAATGAGTCACAACTTTATCAGGTCCTGCCTCTGGTTATTACTGCCAATGTGAGCGGCTCGTGAGGAAGGAAATGCTAGTGCAGAGCTCGGCCTGTCGTGTTCTATATCATCTCCGGGCCTCAGCCTGTGTCTGCAGGTGTTTCTCTGGATTGAATCTCCCTGGGGAATCTTCGGCTTCACAGCAAAAGCCGGCTGAAGTGAAAGTGATTTGATTTGGATCCTATTACAGGCACTTTACCTCTTCTATTTCCGTGATAATAGCAGATTGGAGTCGATTATTGTACCGGGAGGGAAGTTAATGTGTTGTCGAGAAACACTGGTAAAAGTGGCACAGGAAAAGGCACATAAATAAAAGTTTTGAGTGAAGCAAAAATCTGGGAGGCAAACCTGCATAAGTGTCTTTCTCAGCTCCTACCAGCTTCTGAATGGCCCTGGATCTTTTTTCTGTCTTTATTCCGATTTGTATAAATGAGGGATTTCTTCTTGCTTTAATTTTGTCACTCCTCCACATCATTAGGGCAGGAGTTTCCCCCCCGCCACCCCAGCCCCTGTCAGGAAACTCAGCCACCCAGAGTTGCCGCAAGGACTGAGTTTGCACTGATTATCTTGCTTTGTATTCCCTGGAGTCTAAAAGTTTGCCAGCCTCAACTAATGCACCTCAGAGAATCACAGAAGCAGGAATGAAACCCTAGCTGGGTTTGAAAGAGGCACTTTATGTCCGTTCACAAAAGAAAAGAAAAACATTGAAAAATTTCCAAGAACTCCTGCTAGGTGACAAAGTAGCATTTGTAAGATGCCCTTCAGTGCTCCTTCAACTTCAATACTGAAACCTTTGTGTTCTCTGTGCTGCAGCTTCAGATGGAAGTGATACCGGGTTAGAAAAACATGCTACATCAAACAAGACGTGGCTAATAAGATGGAACAATCAGGTTTTGCTCTGATTTCAAATGTTCACTGAAAAAAAATTTTGTGTAGCTCACCCATAATGCTTGATCATATTTTAAGTGGCAAGCTGGGAAAAGAAAAAAAAAAAAATCGTCATTGAAATTGTGACTTTCAGCCAAAGACTTTTCCAAGCCAGAGACATAAATAAAGCATTACTGAAACATAACCTCTGTTCAACACAACAAACGGGCACACAGCAGCACAGCCTGAATGGGGTGAGATTTGGGAAGCAGGGCGTGGGAAGGGGATCTGGCCAATTTGGGGAACATGCCAGTGCAAAAATCCTTATGCACAGAAGCTCCACACAAGCCCTGTCATCTTCTCTTCACCCTTTTTGCAACAATTAAATAGTCAGCTCTTCTACCTCTCTCATTTCCATCTCCATCTTTTTCCTTTATGTCTCAAATTAATGACCAGTGTCCCAAAACTACTTCTTTCTTTACATACCTCTGCCGCTGCTGTGAAAAACTAGCATTTTGCATCTCCAGTGCAGTCGTATGTCAGAACAAAATTCTGACCAAGTAAAAAAAGAAATAAATATCCCCATCAATTTTCTTAACAACTTTTTTTTAAACTCTTCTTTGGTTTGCTTATATTTTTAAACTTTATTTGTTTTAGGGCACTATTTTCACCTCACTGAGCCACACACAGCATTGAATTTGATGCAGCAGACAGTTGCTTGGGCATGGCAGAATGGATCAATCAGAAGAGTGCAATTTGATTATAGGGTGGGATGGTCTAGAGATATGTTGGCAGCCCTGTTTGCACTGCTTCAGGGTCCTAACATTTCATCCTCCTCCTGTTTTAAAATATCCAGAAAACTGATGGCTTCTACATTTTTGAATCTCTTCACCTGTGGGAGGGAAGTACAGACCCCAGGCACATCCCTCACATTTGAAATTCGGCACATTTATTCATACCTATGCAAAGCAAACACCAGGGGAACAGAATGCCCTGCCAATCTCAACTGGAACATCCACATCCACCTTTACCCACAAATGCCAAGCCAGAGGAGAGCAGGAGTCAGTGCCCGAATTATTGGAAGAAAATATGTTTCCTTAAAAGTCTCAGGCAGAAAAGGGGGTGAAGTTGTACTTTTGAGGCCAAGGCACAAAGAACAGGGCTATCATCTCACAGAATCTACAGACTTCGTGGCATCAGGTGCCTTTACAAGAAGAAAATGGAACATGCACATCCTGCCCTGTCCCCCTCATGATACAATAGGCATAAAATTGCTTGTACACTGCCTGCACAACAAACTCCCAGATCCCTGCTCTTCTCCATTACCACTAAACTGTGAAATGACACGTGTCATTCCAGTAAAAAATGAAAGCTATTAAATTTTCATGGATGTTTAATTTCCAAATGCTGAATTATTTTTGTATGGAGAAGCCCAAAAATGTGGATAAATTCTCAGTTCTTCTTACAACTATCACATGGGAATTTTTTTTTATTATTTTTTCTTTCTAAACACAAAAAAGTGAGGAAATTTTAGAATGGAAAAAAATTAATTTTGACATCCAAGAATCCTACCTACACAATCGATCCAGCAAAGCACAGACCTGCAAAATGTTTTGGCATTGCCAGGTCTGCATGTTGTGCAGACAAATGTGTCAGCTTCAGGGTATTGCTCAACTGCTCACTGTGTGTCAGAGCAAAACTGCACTGAATCACTAAAAACTTCTTCACTGGCCTGCAGGGGCTTTACAATGTGCTGGCTCTCCACATTTCCTCACTTATCTTTTTTTTTTTTTTTTTTTAATTCTTTGTCTTCTCTCTCAATATTTTTTTCAGGCATTTAAAGACCACATTTCCCCCTGAGTGCCCTCCATGGGAAACAGGTTCCCTTTTTCTCTCCCTTCCTCCTCTCCTCCTCACATTCATTACCACCTTTCAGCAGCATTAAAAGGGTACCGGTTTCCTATGTATAAACGAATCTGCTCTTCCAAGGATTCACTTCTGTGTCTCATTCATTATAGCAAGTGGAAACTCTTTTTTGGAAGGTGTAGACAAAAGTTATAAAGTCATTCCCATTCTGAATGGCCCAAACTGAGATTTAGGAGAAATATAAAAACAAAGTTTATGTCTGCACAGAAGACATTCTGAATGTGGTGACGTTGTTGCCTCACTCTTATCTTTTCTTGTCTGTGGGTCTGAGCTTCTCCCACTGTAGAGAGACAGACAGACAGATGAACAAAGCCAACACCCACAGTGGATCAATAAAGTTAGTAGAAACACACTACTTTCAAGGGCTAGGATAGAGAATAGACCTATATTAAAGCTAAGTTTTCCATTAAATACATATAATGGGCATCCAAGCCATGAGTCACACAAAGACTGGGCAGCAATGCCCTCAACCAGAGCCTTGGCTGGAACTCTTTAAGGTTAAACCATCTCTTCATGGCTATCATGAAACCGCTGTCTTCTCTCCAGCTCCCTATTCCAAGTATGTTTCCCAAGACAAACCTGATGTGAAATTTTTGTATTCACCATAATATCACCCAAACTATGCTTATTTTAAGTACAATAAAAAGTTGTGAAAGTTATTTACAATTCCTAATATGTTGTACAGAAATTGTACCAAACTGCCAATATTCAGGGTGAGGAAGACAGAGCAGGACTTCTTCAATGAATCTCAAAAAAAAATCTACAACCCCCATGAGGATTACTTTTTAAAATCAGTGTTAATAAGAATAACATGTAGAATTTACAAAGCCAGCCTAGAGGTCCTATAACAGCATGGCAGCAGAAAAGCTAAAGAGAAGCTTTTAGTATAAGGTTACTAATTAAGAGTATCTTTAATAGTGAATAAATTTGGCTGTGACACAGAATCTTAAACATAAAAAAAAAAAAAAAACAGAAGAACTATATTATCTCTTTACAATCCTCCTCTAGAAAATGGAATTTTTCTTTTCCCATTTATCTCCTGGGCTAAACAATCGCCTTAAGCATATATGTGAGCTTGGAGGGTTGTTTTAGCTTCCTCAAGGATAGTGCAAGAAATAATAGGAATTAAATCAGTCCCTATTCACAATACAGCACATTTGAAGTGGAGCAGCCTCTGTGCATCACAGGAATGCTCCAGTTTTGATGCATTACTGAGCGCCCTCCGTATCCAAACAAAGCTTTGCATCTGACTAGTTGTTACAGGCAAATGATTTACATAATTACTTTGGATTTTTCCCCTCAAAAACACACAACATATGAATCATTGTACTCTGTCTTAAAGTCATTATTAGCCAATTAAAACTCCAGGATTTGCATAATCGCTCTTCAGTTATTTCTTGGTAATCATAATGTGATGTGTGATTACCAAAGTCAGATCAGCAACTGTAGAGTGGGCTATCAACTCAGAATTATTGAGGGGCTTTTCAGCAATAAAAGAACTACCTCAGCTGCTCAATTTCCTTTGAAACTAGCATGAAGAAATTAAAAATAAAAAGAGCAAAGTATGAGTAAAATGAGGCTCCTAGAGGGATGAAATTTAAAAAAATAGTTCTAATATTTATCCACTCATGAGACTGAAGTATTGGATTTCTGGATTTCAGGTCTGATACCAATCCAAGTATAAAACTACTGTGCATTACACCTGTAAGTCTTACAAATTTGTCTGAGTAACGATACAGAAAATAGAAGAAAATGTGTAAATTTGCGAAATAACAAAATTTGGATGCATTCTGCATCCTGTGCCCTATACAAAGCCCAGCCCTGGTTCAGAGCTCACCAAAATCAACCGTGACCGTGGAGAAGGAAGGGCTGTATCACGACTCCTGTGTCTGCTGGGTGACAACAGAGAGGAACAGGGGCAGCACGAGTTTCATCTGCAGACAAACTTCCTGAGGATATCCTTTTCCTCAGGATATCTCCTTGTGGGATATCTCCCAGATAAAGTCAGGCCAGTTGTGCTGGGAGCAGAGAAGCAGCCATGTGGATGATGAATCCGTGCCTCAGTAACAGCCCAAGCCAAGCGTGGATGGCAGCACTCGTGGGAAGGTGGCAAGGTAATGAATCTGCTCCGGGGTGGAGGGGGTTAAGTGGCTTGCTGGAAGACAAGTTAATGATGTACCACAGCATTCAATGAAGATTGATTGGGAATGGTGTAAATGGGCACTGGGCAAGGACAAAGAGGCTTGCTTTGGGAACGGGGCAGGATGGAGGGGAAGAGACAGATTACAGCTGAAGGTGGCTGGTGGGTTGAGTTGAAAGAATAGTCTCAAAAAGCACAGGGAGACACACTCTGGGGGAGAGGATTTCACTCATGTCCTCTACTGTGAGGCAAACTCTGACAGAATGGTCCTGACAGGTGCCTGCTGATAACATTTGTGGTACCCAAGGCCACTGGACTGACAGGGATGAGCAGGGGTGACTAAATAGGATTTTGCACCTCCCTCTTCAAGATCTTCCCCATATTTTGAGGCAGCACCCATATTACATTGTGTTAAAAATGCAATTTAAATCCAGAAGAATCTGCAATATGCAAGAATTCAACCACAGGGGAGAATAGGGAAGTACAAAAATGCTAGTATATGGGAGTCCTTCCTTGCCTTGCAGCAAACATTAATACCTCACAAAAAAGGGACACAGTGACCACAGTGGAGTTTCAAATAATATCCATCAGAGGGGAAAGCTGTACAACGAAGGTAAATAGAGGTCATAAAAATAAGTTCAACAGGTAAGAGACAAAAAGACATAAGAAACTGGCATTATAGTCTAGCCTGGGTGGAAGAGTTTTACAGATTATAAACTAACAATCTCAAAATATGTTTAATGCCAGCTAACAATGCACAGTATTGTTATACACATGACAAACAAACAAAAAAAAAAAAAAAAAAAAAAAAAAAAAAAAAAAAAAAAAAAAAAAAAAAAAAAAAAAAAAACAAACAAACAAAAAAAAAAAAAAGGAGCCAAATAAATATCCAAGACTCCTGTTCCAAAATGGCAAAAAATAATGGTTTTCATCTGATAGCTAGACAACTAAAAGCAAAAGTCATGCACAAAGGTATGCAGTGGAAAGGAATTCTTTGGCCTGGATACTACACAGACCTACAGAACAGACAACTCTAATCTCTAGTCTTGTTAGCTTCATGTATTAAGTAAGCCTGGAGTACAATGGCGCTACAACTTGCCTCAATGAATCTCATTACAGTGCTCATTTGTTGTAATGGAAAGGGCTCTTACTCACAATAACTCACGGTAGCTCACTTTAACCCACCCCACCTTTCTGTATCCTTCCTTTTCCCCTTCCAAGGAATCCAAAATAGCCCACTTAAGCCAGCATTCCCAGGTGTATTAGGTGTGTAGTAAATATCCAAGTGATCCCCATCATCATTATCTTGGTTGATGGATACCCTCTATGGGCACCACAGAATTACACTAATTCCCAGGTGCATCATTTGGGTCTATCTGTTTTGATTTAGCTTGTCTCTTAAACTCCAAAATGGGAGCAAGATGAATTAAGTTACAGTTACTACAAGCCTGTGCTGAGGATATCTCAGTGCCTCATACTTGTGTGCCATGTTGGGGAAGAAGGAGGAAGAGGGATGTTGGGAATGATGGTGTTTGTCTTCCCAAGTCACTGTTCATTGTGCTGGAGCCCTGCTTTCCTGGGGATGGCTCAACACCTGGGAGGTGAGGAATGAACTCCTTGTTTTGCTTTCTCTGCACGTGCACCTTTTGCTTTACCTACTAAATTGTCTTTATCTCAACACAACTCAATGAGATTTCTCCCTTTTACCTTTCTAATTCTCTCCCTCATCCCACTGAGGGGAAGTCAGCAAGTGGCTCTGTGGGGCTGAGGTTAAACCATGACACAACTGGAACCACATCATAGGCAGGCTTCTTTCCCAACACTGTCTGCACAGGAATATTCATGTTTTGGTCGGGACTTCCAAACATCAGCAGGGCTTTGGCACAGGAATGAGGCAAGGACCCCATCAATATCAAGCAAACCCTTGTGGTGTGGTTAGAGGATGTTGGATTCTTCTAACACAGCGTTCAGTGTGGTGAGCAAGTCGGTGAATTCTTTCAAAATCATATGTAAAAACCTCCTGTTGCCCTGTGACCTGAGCTAGCTGGTGTGCCCCACGCTGTGCGGCAGGGCTGGCTGAGCAGGTACCTGAACCAGCACTTCCAAGTGCCATGATGATGGTACTTTCCAAACAAAACATTTTCGGTTGAAATATTTCTCTGTTAAAACATGCTGACTTTTGCAGCCTCTCCCCTAACAAAAACAAACAACAAAAAAACCCCACCAAACAAGAGTCTGAGGAGCAAACACAAAACTTAATTTAGTCACAAATCCAATTTTCCATTCAAACCTCACTTTTGACTGTTCCAAATTAGACTTTATATCTGACTCTGCACAGGACAGGTTTTTACCTAGGTCCATGTTTCCTCTACCAAGCACATCTGGTCCCTTCCTAAAGTGCACTAGAGGCACCTATCCCTACCTACCTATAATATTTATAGGAATACTTTGTATTTGTAATTATTTTGTAAGTGATAAAATACTATATTATATATATAGTGTATATATATATTCACTATATTATATTTATACTATATATATTTTATAAGTGATCCACAGATCTGTACTACATCCTTTCATCTCTGAATGCATCTAATTTACACTAGGGAAAAAAATACAATAATACGTTGTTCTCTTATTTTAAAAACATTTCAACTGTACTAAAAGTGCATTAATTCAGTTTTTTCAGTTCAAAACATTCCATAAGCAAATGCAGCCTGTATAGAGTGCTCTGCTGCATGTCCCCTATTAGCTAATTCTCTCACATCAAGCTCATTTAAATCTATTTGTCCCAGACCACCCTCTTTAAAGAGAGGAAGGAGGAGGATGGGATCTCTTGCTACTGAGGCTCCCATCCTATTTATGACTGAGTGTTTAAGGATGCTTTACAAAACTTTCTCAGTCTCCTCTTGTAATTCAAATCAATTGCAGCCATAAAACAAAAATTCTGCAATTTATATACCCCCCCTCCCCACCCTGAAAAAAAAAAATAAAAGGTTTAATTTGATAATTGAAGAAATAAAGGGTTCTTTTCAAACCTGACATTAAAAATCTCTAATAAAAATGGGGAAAATGAAGGTCTAGGATGACAGTCTTTATCAAAGTGTATATAGAGACATTATATGTTCCAGTAATTGTTTAGGCCGGTGAATTAATGAATCCCTGGCTGTAAGTCTCCATTTGAAATTATTTCAGTGGTGTCTGCTGCTCTGCTGCTTTGGAAAAGCCTGTTGTCTGAAGCTCTGGAGAAGGGCCTTGAACCCTGCCATTCAATCCCTTTCAGCCCATCAGCTGAGTCTAATTGCCAGAAAGCACACGAGACCCCTAAGCCTGATTGTTCCCCGACCTCCTTTGAGGTTCTGAGGCATGAAAAGCAAAAGGGAAAAAAAAGCTCTCTTTTGATCTTCTGTTTCTTTCTCTCTTTCTCTCTCTCTCTCTTTTTTTTTTTTTCCTGCCTACTCCTACTCTAAGAATGACACATTTCTTTATATGGCTTCTCCTTCTTATAAAGACAATAATTAATAAGGCCTTTATAAAATGAGGCTTGAATTGGTGTCACCTTCAAGGGTGGTCCAGGGCTCTGAAGTGAAACCCCCGGTGGGCTTAGGCATTGCATGGCCTTTGCACAGGTCAGGTTTAAATACCCTGACCTCAATTTTCACTCTCCTCCACTAATGAGCCGATTCACACATGGATACAAAATTATACGAGGGGAAAGACAAAAGGAGCAAGGTGTAGTTGACACCACATTGGCCAAATTTTATTATCATCTTTGTGCCTATGACATCACAGCTGTGGACATTGTCAAAGTGCTGAAACTGCTTGCTTTCTCCCCCCACCCCACTTCTTTTTGTCCCCTGCCTTCAGCTTTATATAATTACTTTCACAAACTCACACTCTCTCCCTATTATTTGCTCAGATGTCATGAAGCTGTGACGTTAGTTGGGACTGGGGACCAGTCTGGGTTCTTGTGTGGTTACACATGCAGAACTGGGTCGCTTTTCTTGAGGTTCTGCTTCACTGCCTCACTGTCAATTGTGAGGATAAAGCGGCATTATGTGTAGCTATTCTATTTCACAGGCTTATCAATCTGACACCAAAAGTTTAAAAAAAAAAAAAATCATCACACCAGGGATGTTACGTGTCCATTAAAGGAAAATTGTTGATGGTTGACATTGAATGAGTTGTCAAAGACAGCGAGACACCCATTGCATAAGTTTCCCTATTAATGCAAAACGTTTAACAAGTTTATTAGAGAAGAAGCTAAAAGGGGGGGAAAATGATGCTATGACAGCCACACCCGTGGGTTGTAAACCTGTCAAATCCCGTCAGGGGAGCAAGGTCAGTGTTTGGATTGAAGACAGAATCAGCAGGAGGCACTGTTCCTCTGAGTCAGTGGATCCCACACCAGGCGCTTCCATAGTGGTATATAGGACAGTGCCTCAGGGCTAATTCACAAGCTAATGTTTCTGCCTGACACAGCCACAACATGCTGTTGATAAGCTAAGAAACAAGTACTAAGTATTTCTAGGAATTAAAAAAAAAAAAAACCAACAAAATCCCATGCCGCTTTTTGTTGCCATAGGAAAGCTGACTAATATCTAATCACGCAATTAATTTCCGCCGTCCTTTATCTCTTACATGGTTTTGAATGGTTGTTGTTTTCTCCACTTCTTGTCCCGAGGTGATGTGCAGGGTTGTGGTTAAACACAAGCAGAGCTCCTAAGAGGTGGGCTGGATTGATCCCTGCGCCTTAATCTCGCTTTTCGGGGATGGTGTAAGGATGATGAATAAATATATGCAATGATGCAACATGCTAAAAAGTCTTTGCACTAAAATAAAAGTATGCTATCACCTTTGGGACAATTTTGGAGGTCTCACCTCCCAGGCAAAGCTCAAAATGAATTAACACTACTCTCGTTAAGAATAAATTAGACTTGAAAAACATTTGTTCGTTAAACTCCATAATACAAC